ATTTATCGCGATTCTCATTATTATTATCCATTTGCAGTTTTTTTTTGCGTTTCACTTTATTTTCTTTTCTAATCCAATTATCTGAAAATTTCAATTTTTAATAATTGGTTGCACCAGCAGAGAGCAAATTTTCATATACTATCATAAAGTCATATGTAGCAAAGCAAAATTTTAAATTACTTAAACTTATGTTTTATTTCCATTTATATACTTATTTTTGTAAAATTGTGTTAAAATATGATTTGAAATTTATTGAATCGTTTTTTTTTGCAGTAAATAATAACAAAATTTGATTTCTTGAAGCTTAGGAATAGAAACAGACACGTAGCGAAGCTGAAAGGAAGCGGAATTACTTTACCATTTTATGTTGTAGGATATTTATCGGAGATATAATGGAAATTTCTGCATTCAAAAAAAAGCAATTAGAAATTCATTTCAATATTATGAAAATTCCACCATTCCAACTTTTGATAAAAAACCCGGCAAAGCAGCAGGTTTCCTGATTTGTTCTGGGACAATAATACTCTTTTCTGATATATTCGAAATCACCTAAGAAGTTCAGGTATCTCATCTTTAAATGAACAAACAAACATAGTGGGACTGAAGTTTTCATAATCTCCAGGTCATGCAAACAAAAGACGAAGTTAGATAGAACGCATGCGAGGAGGAGGCAGATATTGAGGAGGCTAAACAGAATGTGTAAGTGAAAGATTGAAAAGGACGAAATAACGCGATTATTAGGAGGTGATAGAATTTGCTAAGATTTACGAAATAGTGTATCATCGTTAGGATAGAAGAAATAAACCAGAGCTCGTGATTGGAGCAGTACGTTAGTTTAGATGAGGGATAGTGGTAGTTAAAGATTCGAAGAGTGTGTAGGCAGTAACCGTTGCTAAAGTGGTAGCAGTGAATGAGAGTAAAACGAAAAAGAAATCCATTGAGAGTTTTTTTTTTTTTTACAGTCAAAAGAAGCGAGTGATTTCACCCTAAAAATCCGGAATTTCGCAATCAAATGATTTATATGAGGAATATCTTTTGATATATTAATGTCGAGAACATTTTGTTTGACTAGATTTTACCGGTTTGAAATAACGAAAAAGACGTTATTGACGGCGTAATATGGCGTGAAAATTGTCGACAAATATGTCATATCCTATTTGAATTGGATTCAGTGAGTTTCTTATAAAATGTGTTTTCTTCACATCTCTTCTTTTGTTTCAAACAACATTTCAGTGTGTTATAGTGAATGTTCAGAAAAAAAAAAAATGATACCAATGGTGTTACTAAAAAGGAAGCCATGCAAGGATAATAGCAATTTTGTGCAATTGAATTTAATGTTGTTTTTTTTTTTCTTCAATTAATTTATTGCCTTACTAATCTTTGCAAAATTCTCTTCTTATATAATATTATTATATTTAGTCATACAAAAGAAATTTCAAATCTAGTCGCTACAGTATTACTTATCAAAATAAAAAAGTGTTATTTTTTCGACAATATGCAATACGTTTCATTTATGAAGAGGCTTAATAATGTTGCATTTTGGCAGGTTTGGTTCAGGATGATGATGAATGACGAAAATAGTCAATTGTTGGTAACATCTGTTTGGTCAAGGGGAAGAAAAATCATATCGATCGGTGTACTTCTTCTGATCAATTTGCTTAATTATATGGATAGGTATTAATCTTTTAAATTTTATTGTAGAGTTTACAAAGAAAAAAAAAAGATGATATGAAAGGGTACATGGACATACAAATTATTGCATCCTGTTTTTGTGATATAGCTGTAAATAACATAGCGATACCAAATTGTTTTACTCATCACGATATTTGATATTAGCCAGTCATTTTATTTTTGTCCATGTAGAGTTAGATTATCAATAAAATATTAGTATGATAAACGCATATTAGCCTTATTGAATGAAATCAGGATGGGACAATTTTAATAAATAGAACATATAAAAGAGCATGATTGAGATTGCACAAGATTGTTATTTTGTGTATTTTAGGTTTTCATTTTTTCTAGAATCAAACGATAATTTTGATCACATTCAGAGATGTTGAATTAATAATTAGAAATATTTAAGATTTACGATTGCTGGTGTACTCACCCAAATACAGAAATATTTTGATATCGATGACTCAAATGCTGGACTGTTACAGGTATACATTTCTTGTATGACGACAAATTATGGGCAAAATTTCCTAGTGTTTTTAAAATAAAATTTGGTGAATAAATTTTCGGTTCACGCTCAAGTTTTATTTTTATTCTTCTGTGGCAACTAATAAAACCTATTCACTAGGTAAATTAAACTTAGTGTTTATTGGTTGCATCGTCAATGTTTCTTTATAGTCAGTACAAAAAATTAAATCCGAAGTTTGTTCGTATATAAATCGAAATCGCGTTACCTTAAATGACCCAATAATTCTTGGATTTTGTTGCTTTATTAGCTAGTGCTTTACAAATATGAGTTGCTAAGTGGTTGACTAATAAAATTCTGGGTTACGAATAAAACAAGTGAATTAAATTGATTTTCAGACGGCATTCATCGTGTCTTACATGATGGTTGCTCCAATATGTGGTTATTATGGTGATCGGTACAACCGGAAATTCATCATGGAGATCGGGTTGATTATATGGATGATTGCAGTCGTATTATCAACGCTCTGCGCCCCCGTAGTTGGTATTTGTGTTTTGTTTCCTCTTTTTTTGATTTGAAGGTTAAATTATTCATTTGCTGACGTATAACCCAAGAGATTTCATTGATTTCTTGCTAATTTCTCTGGATTTTCTTTTCAGCATTTCTATTTATTTATGCTATGTCGGAGTATTGTGGGTGTTGGTGAAGCATCATATGTAACCGTCGCACCAACAATAATTGCTGACCTATATACAGGAAATCAACGAAGTATTGCTTTGATGATTTTCTACTTTGCGATACCAGTTGGAAGGTTCGTTTATTCAGTTATATCCTTCATTAATGAAAAGTTCACTATTACCGAAATATTATTTTTTAAGCAAATTCTAAAAACATTAGTTGAAATTTAATGGTTCACACTACTCTTATTGATGATGATTGCATAATTATTAACGTTTGGGACATTTTTTTGATGATGTGTTAAAAGTTACGTCCGGCGTTAGTTTATCTTTTCATAAAAATACATCATTGATCAAATATGTTCTTCATTGTACTTATTTGTTGGTGATATAAAAGTGAACTGTATACTATTTCTGCAAAATTTTGCACTTTTAGCAATAAATTTTAAGAATTTGTTCGTAATTTCAGTGGATTGGGATATGTCACTGGTGCAACTTTTTCGTTGTGGACAAATACTTGGCAGTGGGGTGTCCGCGTGACACCTATTTTTGGTATCGTATGCTTTTTGTTATTGTTTTTCATTGTTGAAGAACCAGTACGTGGCGAAGCTGAGCACGTTAATCCTGTACCGTCGTCTTTTATTGCGGACATGAAATATCTGCTTACTGTGTTCGTTTCTTTAATGAATTTTTTTTTTTATTTTTTTAAAACTAGTAGCTTAGGTGATGGTTGGTGAAAAACACTGGAAATTAATAAAAGAGTGCAGAAATTGAAGTCACCTTTTAATTGTATTCAGTACAGAAAAAGTGGTACTCATTTTTTACTGTTGTTTAAAGCGGACATCTTAATTTAAGATCGACTTATATAACCACAACTATTGGATTGACGTCGGTAGTATTTGTGGTTGGATGCTTAGGATGGTGGACGCCGACACTAATGCAGTATGCATGGGCTGTGCATCATGGCACAAGCTATATTAGTAGTGAAGTCAAGGCTGCGTTAGTTATTCTTTTTGCTTTATATTTTATAAAATTTAGGGGTAAAATAGGGATAAAATAGTGTACTTCAAAATCAGCAGGATAATTATAATTTCCTCTTTGTAGGAATTATTTTTACTTTTTACTTGATTATTTCTTTACATCTATTTTTTTCAGTATGGGATTGATATTTGGGATCGTTACTTGTCTTGCTGGGTTTTTCGGTGTTTTCATTGGTTCTACTTTGTCCCAAGTAAGATCATTATATCTCTATCAGTCTAACCAATATGAAAATATGAAAAATATTTTTATTAGGTGAATTACCATCAATCACTTGTAATTGTTTCTGATATAATGGACATTTTGAATTTGAATCAAAAACTTATTGCGTTAGGAAAAGTTTCTCCTTTCATGAATTAATTTTCGTACTCACCACTAAAAGAAATAAGAATTATTTGATTTGGTAATGGCGATTTTTTGCTAAAATTAGAGTTAATGATTTCTTTCTTCAAAGATTTGGCGATCAGGATTTGGCATTATACCGAAAAATGATCATGCTGATTTACATACCTGCGCTTTGGGGTCGCTGTCAGCTGTGCTATTTCTGTACCTTGGCCTTATTTTATCATCAAAAAATGCGACTTTGTGCTTGGTAATATCATTAAATCTTTTCATAGGATATAAGATTATTTTTAAGTTTTTAAGTTCATTAATTTAAAAGCACCATGAAATGTTTCAGATGTTTATTTTTTAGATTTTTACATTTCTTGCTGTAACGAGTTGTTGCGTTAATTGGGCAATCAATATGGATATTTTAATGGTAAGTGAAAAATATATTACTCAGGAATATTAAGATTTTATGAATTTAACAATATATTTGTAAAATGCAGCGAGTTTAGCTCCATCCTTATGCATTTATTCTAATTCAGAGTTAGATTTTCAATGCTATTTAGTGTAGTAAATGTCATTTTTATTACACTGTTTTATAATTTTAACTCCTTCTACATTTAAGATTTACAAAAGTTTAAATTACAAAATTTCTGTTTATTGAAATTTAATAATTACAATTTCGTTTCAGTCTGTTATAACTTTACGTCGACGGTCAATAGCAACCGCTATTCAGACATTGATTTTACATCTTCTGGGGGATGCTTTCTCCCCATATCTGATTGGACTAATATCGGATGCGATACGTGGTGAGTTTTTAAATTTGATTTCTTTATTTACTATCATTATGATTGTATCGATATATATGAATTCGAGGATTTATTTTGATGTGGTTGGCAATGCGCCTAATTCATATCATGTTTCCCTAGTTATATGAACAATAAACGCTTGTTCATATCATAGTAGTGATAATTTCTTTCCTATTTATGCTTTCAGGTTTTTCCTCAGTTATTTATCCTCATTTGTAGAACATGAGCGATCTACTTTGGCGCATTTTATTGCTCTCCAGCGCTCATTATTTGTGCCAAATTTTGTGCTTTGTTTCGCTGGTTTCATGTTTTTGGTTTCAACTTTTTATATCGATCAAGATAGGCAGAATGCCGATGAATTAACGCATAGTACGCATTTAATTTCTATACTCTGAAATCTATCATTTGTAACGAGAAATGAGATGTTTTTTCCATTTTGTGTTCTTTGTCCTCATGATTGCTTCTTTCATATCGTTGCAATGGTTTTTGCTTCATATATCTCTACACATCAACTTTATTTCAGGCGAACAGCTCATTACCGAGAATGCTTCAGATACATCACCATTAATAGATGCTGTTGAGCATTTAACAACGTGAATGTATTCAGCGCGCATCATATGAACTGAGCATCATTTTTTTTTTTCTATAAGTTATCAGCAAATATTACATAACACAGTCAGTTTTACAAGAGGTTTGCACATATTGTAGTATGCGTTTATAACATGGAAAAAATTTAAAAAATGTATACTTTATTCTCTTGTTCTCAAGTTTTGTAATGCTATGAAAAGCTTTTATTGACGACCTTGTTATACAATATATACTGCTATTATGTATATTCAGCGGAATTTCAGCAGTCAATTAAATTATTGAGAGACAGAGATGATCTTTATCTGCTTTTCAATGTGTTGTCTTTGCAAGCTGCAGATAATTCGAAGTATTTTAAAATAGTTTGAGTTATAGTGAAAATACAGTCAAATTTTTACTGTTTCTTCTTGACTTGATTTTGAATTCTTTACCAGTAGTATATTCAGAAATACTTTTTGAAAATTATGAATTATTAGCTTAGCTTTCCTATATTGTGAAAATAATATAAACATTTTTTTTCAAATTCGGAATTTTTAGAGACGAAGTAAATATAGAAATGCAGTACAATTTCTTTTTACATTTCGTGATAAAATGTGATGTACCGAATCAAGGTTCCTCAATGGTAATGGTTAAATTTCCCAATTTTACATAGGGTTGTGTTGCTTTTTTAAATGTCTTTGAAATTTTTTCATAAATTTCAGAAATGAGTGTTATCAGCTGCTAAATCGTTAAACTGAGCCCATTTTTAATTCGTATTCCTTGTTCCATATAACATCTTGTTCTATATAACATGTCGTCGCACAGCTAACCAACAATAAGGCAACTTATTCCATGAGCAAAGATTTTAAGCTAACATGTAATGCACTTCCGAGAATTACCTAATGTATAAATGAAAATACCTCAAAAATTTGAGAAAGGTTTGACGTTTCATCGCTTTTAGTCAATTCCCGACTGAACTAATTTTTGACGGGTAACGGGTACAAAAAACAATATGATAGTCAAGGAAGCATAAAATCACAACTCTAAAGTTGCAGCTTTAAATGACAGGCAATGATCATTTTGTTAGTATATATTCTTACTAGTCTTCAAATATTCGACAAACTTTCTTTCTCTCGCAACTCTTAACTAATGTGGTGGATCTAAGCATGTCAACAACAAAATGGTCAACATTTAATTCGTACTTTGTTTGCCTTATTATATAATGTAAATAATATTTTATACAAAGCAAAATAACAAAGAACTAACAATATTTATCACTTTTTGTTTTAACTCGGCGTTCCAGCAACAATTCGTGCAAATTGCCTTCCTGCTGAGCGCGACGTACGGACTCTTTATCATCCAAATTGACATTTATGTATTTTCCTTTTACGGCAACTTTTGAATGCTGGTACATTTTCCTATAAGTGCAAGTGAATTTAGCGAAGTTCAAATAGTAGACACCATATTTTTCATATGAGAAGGAAAAAATATGGGAACATAAACGGTGGATTTAAGATCAAAGCGTGAAGCAAAAAATTTTTTCCCGGAAATCTAAGAAATCTAGGAATGTGCTTTGTAGTTCCACAAATATTTTTCCGAAATTCAAAACGAAGAAAAAAGCATACACATAGCTTGTTTCACATTCTGCAGCGGATTTTTTATCTTCTTCTGTACGCCAATCAACTGGTCCCTCTTTTCTTGCATCGGTTCTTAACTGCAAATACCGAACAAAGCTCATACTTCAGATTTCAAATATTAGTAAATAGTGTTTGATAATACAATTCAGAAAACGCGAATTTAAATCTAAATCATCGTATCCACCAAATCTTTGTATGTCTAACTTTGAAGCACAAATAATACGAGAAAGTAATTGTGCACATCGCAAATCTTGGCCAATTCTAATTTATCGTTTTTTGAATCACGTAGAGCTATCTGTGTTCTGAATTACATTAGTTTTATCCTTTAGTTGTAAAATAATCCGCCCGACATCTTAGAAATTTTCCTATCTCAATCAGCAGATTCCTTACGGATATTTCTTCACTAACCTTGATAGGAATAAGCTGAGTACTACCTGTAAGATCCGGAAACTTTATGGGCAAAGCATAATTTCTAGTACTACTAGCTTGTCATACTCCGAACCAGTCTGTTTTAGAACAAATAAAACTATTCCTTTGAAGAATAACATACCTTAATCATTTCATTAGCTTCCGCCTTCCGACTTGTGACACGTACGTAACCTTCAGTGTCACTTTTCGTACTCAAGAAGAGATTGTTCGAAGCAGATTGTATTGCGGTTTTACCCTATGATCGGAATGATAATGCAGCAAACTAATCTTGTAACAGTAACAAAAAACTTGTTCGTGAACCAGAATTTAGTTATTTCGGTAGTTGTAAATATTAGAAGGGTCTTTTTTACGAGTAAAGACACTCTTAGTTCAATGAATAACAAGATACCTCCTGGAAAACAACAATCATTCGTTCTCTCGTACCAACAGCATCAGCTGTAGCTATGAGGTTTCCTTCCGAATCCACGCCAATATATTTGCCAAAACCTGTTTTCATGCTGACAAGCATATCATCTGGTGTTTTTATCAATGTAAACATCTGAAATCAATTTTATTGTCAAGATCCGGATTCTCCCACAACTGAAGCAGAATATTTCAATCCCGAAGATCTTCCCAATATCTAAAATATGGTAAGATAATTGCTCATAAGTTTATAAATAATAAAATAATCGGAGAAAAAAACAATTCCTTAACATGAATGCATATTTCAAATAAGATACATGATTTCTATCATACGTAAAAAATAATACAAATATTTGTGCTAACTTCTAAATATCCGTGCTACATTTATTCAGAACTAACTTCTTCTGGATTTGGTCCCTCGCCAGCCAAATGTGGTCCACCAATCGTAAATCGTCCGTTGTCCATGGCTGCTAGGTATGTTCCCGGCGTTGTATCACATTCAATGCATACATTTATACCACCCCGAAGATCAGTTTCATCATTTATCGACCTCCAGCCACCTGTACAAGTAAATATGATGAACGTATAAAATTTACATGACAATCCATCCATATTAAATTAAAGAAAGCATTCTAAATTTCGGTTTCTGATTTCCTCTGATTCAAAAATATTTTCATATTCGAAAATATTTTCATAATCTAATTTTTTATCAAAAAGAAATTTAAATTACAAGCTTTTGGTTTATACAATTAATTTTTATCAAAAATTTGAAATATTTTCATATTCATATTCGAAAATATTTTCATATTTTACATCCGCAAAACATTTACCATGAATCTCAACATCTGGATCATCCTGTGTGACATCGCCTTCTTCCAATTTCTTCTTTCTCTTCCGCTTATCAGATTTAAACCTGCACAAAAATTTGCTATTTAAAAAAGTGCAAAAGGAAACGTGATTTTCTCATTTCCAGACTGTTAAATCATTGAAATTTTTAAATTTCATCATAATTTCATAAATATTATGAATGCTTCATTATATAGGGAGATTTTTCAGAATACTTTTCGAAGATAAAAATACTTCAGAAAGTTGAAAAAGAAAAAAACAAGCAAACTCAAAATTTTACAATGATTTGTTTCCTTTGAATTTCATCGGACCTCGTTTAACCGTTTGATAAGCGTCACTTCTGGAAGTCATCTCTCCCGTTATATCTCTTAGAAAGAGCAAATTTTCAGATGAAGTCACCTTCGGCTTTATCAAACAGACAATCCGTCAAACGTATTGCAACTTTTTACAACAGCCAACATTAATCATTGAAGTATCTTGCTGTGAAAATTTTGATCCCGATGATGAACATAAAATTTTAAAAGATTAGGTAAATAGAATGAGTTATTTTATTCGTCGAGCTACATGATGTATTTTTGCGGTATAATTCAATTTGAATCTATAATAAATCATAGATTATGTATATATTCGGAAATCAAAGTAAAAATAGTAAAAAATTACATTTTCGCAGTTATTTTATGCCATTTACATACCATTCATTTTAAGCAAATTCAAGAAATTATGTAAATTAGAAATGGCAATAATTCAAGATAAAAAATACATTCATTAACCGATATGATGTCTTTTAGAGATTTCTGGGTCATTAAAATAACTTTACTTGGAAGTTTCCCAAAAGTAGAGGGGGATAACTTGTTTCTCAGGAAAACATTTAAAACTAATGAAATTATTTTGTTATAAAAAATTTAAATTTATCGCATATTTAGTTTTATAAACTTATATCGTTTTAATGTGAAACTCATACACAAATGAGTACTCGATATACACGTATACACACACACACACAACACACACACACACACGCATGCACACACATACACACGTCAAATATTATTTCACGTAATGAATGTCAATGACTTAAATCACTTTGAAGAGATACAATCACGTAAAGCAATCAAATGACACGCGTGTGGCTATAGAACAAAGTCGAAGATATTGCGCAATAACGATCTTTGGAAGCTTCTGAAGCCAAATGTGAAATAAAATTCGATCAATTAATTGAAATCATTTGTGTCCTTTATTCAGTTTAAATTAGTTAATTAATTCTAACTATAACATAAGATATAAAACAATTGCAACAAACATTAGCTATACGATAAGAATAATTAGACGAAAATATTCCATTCGATTTCATCACTTTACATCTGCTATAAATTTTCATCCTAAATTGAAAATATTTTTACCAAAAAAAAAAAAACTTGAAATTACATTAATTATTAGAGCGATTCAATTATTCCTGAAAAAAAAAAAAGCAGAACAAAAATGTATCGTTTCAAATAATTATCACAGTTCTTTGATTTTTTCGCTCATTGCCGTTATGTTTTTTTGATTTTTCAATTTTTTAATTATTCTAATAATGATGGATAATTTTCTACCAAACATTGTGCTCATTTTATGATCGATTGTTTTTTGACTGTATACATTGAAATAATTTCTTCAAGACAGTTGATTATTTGATTCAATCTTCATCACTGGCACTATTGGTATCAATATTATCACAGTTCACGCTACTTTCATCAATTCCGGATATCGCTCCCTTAGTATATTT